AGACCTGTTGATGGTTGCTGCACTTTGAAGTGTACAGAGTATCAATAAAACAGAAAAATCCAGGTGATCTTTAGCAAATGACATCAAAATAAAGCTCTTAATGACAAATTTTTGTCTTTGAGAAATAACAATGGAGTAAGAAATGGATAGGAAGAAATTAATAGTGTTGTAAGGACTAATATTAGCACTAGAAGTCTCAGTTTTTACTAGGATCAGTGAATGGAATGCCAAAGCTTTAAGCACAGGAAATGGACTCAGATACAAGGAGAAGTTTGTCAGGAAACTCAAACCATAGAATTCAGAATTACACACCAGAACTGCTGAGCAAGATAAAATCCCAGAAGAGAAGTAGAAAGAGAAACAATGGTCTAGCAATAAGAAAAGATAGTCAAGGTAAGAATGAGCAGGCTGGAACAGTTTTATGTTTTTTGGAGCCATGTATTTTTATTTCAAAGAAAAAGCTATTTCCAAATAGAAACAATAAGCCCAAGTAGCACATTAATATAAACACGAGGGAAAAATAAATAAATATAAGACATCCAGTTAAAAACCTTGAAAGAAGAATGGGGCTAAAACCTAACAGATCTTTATTCTCAGAGAAGTTTTCTTTTTGATCAATACCCCTAAAATTTTAAGACGTTCTAGGTTTAAGTCTTTGATATACCTGGAAAACCTCAGATTCTACTGAACCATAGGCCACAGAAAGCCAAAATGTTTCAGGAGTAATAGCTATTGCTAAAAATTAACTCTGCAATGACCCCAGGACCAATGCCAGAATGATCTGGGAATTAAAGAAAAAAACGAGCACCTAATTTCTCACTGAGAAGAGCAGAAATGGGCAATAGAAACAGAACACACTTTGCATGGGGAGTCTTAATTGCGAAGTTCAGCTTCTTAAACCACTAACACTGGTTATACTAGCTTTTGACTGGGTTGACTGACATGACAAGACCCTAAGAAGGACACATCCATATCTGCGGGCACTTATGAAATTTCAATAATTGGAAGCAAATAATTGGGAGTCATCATGGAGAAGAAAGATGGTAATCTGTTGACTATTATATATAGTCATATTCCTCCTTCTCTACTATGAAAATAGGTGAAGTATGTGTATGGTTATGTATGCTTGCAAGGGACTAGAATTAAATTTTTTTTTTTTAAAGCACATCTGTGACTGAATTATTTGTAGTTGCAAATAGTTTCACAATGCCAATTTAGAATTATCACTATGGGCCACAGGCCATGGCTTAGAAATGTTTTTATTTCATTTAGAAATATTTCTATCTGCTGTCACAATAGCTACCGTGATGAGATGGGATGTGACCTGTGTCTTTGTCCATAAAACAATCCTATAAGATATGGAAACATGAATTCAATTTTCTTTAAGTCAAGAAAAGCAAAAATATGGTTTTTGAAACAAGAACTGCTTTCTGTGGGATCTTCTAGTTAAATGAAAGCTATTCAGCTTGAATCAATTGCTGTATCCATTCTCCAATACACAGCAGATTTATATTTCAGAAGGTTTTTGACAGAGAACAAAATGTTACTGAAATATCTTTTCCATTCCTTTTGTCCTACATAACATTCCATGGGCTGAACTCCCAACAAGGGGCATATATTTGTCAGCTTCTGTTTGCACTTGTTCTATTCTGGTTTGTCTTTGTTGCAAATTTTCAGTTTGACCCTTTCCCGACAAAAATTAATAAACACCTTTTGGTTGTATTACAACTTGCAATAAAAAAAAAAAAATCTTACATTTTTATTCCATACCATCGTTAAGCACCTGCAACTTTTGAAAATAAGCTCACTACTTAAAATCAGTGATAGAGCATTTTTTATAACTACTTATGTAAACACTAGAAATCCAAGGAGAAAATTATTCTAATCCAACAATCCACACATTCCTACCCAAAAGCAATCACTTGAGTATTTAAAAACTAGATCTGTGGCAAGAGACAGGCGAGAACTAGCTTGAACAAGTCTGAGCAAGATGAATTTATCCTCCACTGCCTCTACTCCAGGTCATCCCAGGACTATGCCTGTGGGCAAACGCCAAGATGGAAAGAATGGATTGGTGCCTGTTTTCTAGCATATCTGTGTAAAGACTCAACAAGGGCCCAAGAGGGAGTTGCTGCTCTGAAAGGGACAAAAGGTGTGTAACTGCAAGCTGATCAAGCAGAACATTCAACACTGTCTTGGCCATTTAATGACTAAGCCTGAGCCAGCTCAAAATCAGTCAGAAACAGATTTAAGACAATGTGAAAGCTAAAACACTGGTTCTCAGGGATGATGTCCAAGAGGAGATCTCTGAAGCTGGGAGTCATCCTTTAGGGTGGCCCAGAATAAAATGGTGACGCATTATGCCTCCCGGCGAGTTCATATATACTTTGAACGGCAAAGACACCAAGTCCCGTGGACTTCCAACGAAGATCTTGGGGCAAGAAGAGATGTCCAACAGCACTCTCTGTGACCTGTTAGAGAGAAACATTCTTAGCTACTCCATCACCAAGCAAAACTCCCCCGCCAGACTGAATCGCCTTGACTCCTAGGAAAAAGTTGTGAAGAGATTGGGGAACAGGGGCAGGGGGATGCCTAAAAGAGAGATGAGGTTTTGTCTCATTTGCAGTATCACTAATAGGCTTCCACATAGAAATCTAGCTTCAGTAAAGTCTAGAAGTGAATCAAATTCTAAGTATTTCTGAAACTAACAGCAAGATCATCAGCCACCAAATTACTTCTGCAAAGAAAAGTCTTCATAACAATTATTATACCTGCTTCTGGCATCAAGAGACAAACAGTGTTTTTACTAAAAGATTAATCGCTAGATGTCATAGGACAGTAGATACTTGTCATGGAAGCCACTCAGTGTCCTGCACTCGCTCCCTCCAGCCCAGGAAGCATAAATCAGATTCACAGGTGGCTGGATAAGCTTCCTCTACCCTTTCTGTAACATCCAACAGCAAGACAGTAGGGACCCACAGATAAGGAAATGATCTGACTGTCAAATCTTCCCATCCACACAGGAAAAGACTTCTCAGAGAAGATGGCATCAGATTTCAAGATTCCATATATAAGATCAATTGGCTTCCCTGATGTTTTTAACCTTGCTAACACTGGTGCATTAAAGGAAATACAGCTCCAGAAGCTCAACCTGAAAAGTGCAGTGGCTGCAAAAGGAAAAACACTCTCTACCTATCCATCAAGTTTAGGCTTAGGCACTACAAAAACATCCAATGTCTAAATTTATAATGAAAAGTTTGAAAAGGTAATTAATATTGTAGCGCTATTGCATCTCTTCACCTTTCTAGCTCTATCTCAAAATTGCTCTAGTATACCAAATCAATTAAGCAAAGGTATCTTTTCAGTCTACAAATTCAGAGACTCGACTACATCATTTCTGGGGTATCTTGGCAGTACGAGATGATGGAGAAGGGAGCTGAACTTCAGGTCAGAAAGCCATGGTTAAAGCACAGGCCACATGTGTTCAAGCCACCAGAATCTACCAAATCAGTCAACCTCGTAGGTTCTGAAAAATGAGAAGGATACTTTCTGCCCAAGAAGTCATGACTATCCAGAGAAACACTTTATCCATGGCGCTCTGAATTCTGTGATGTGCTGTTATCAGCTGAGGTAGACCCATGACACACTAGCCACTACTGCTATATGGTTTTTAAGGCTGTATTTACTAAATCAGAGGCACAGACTGCAAAACATCCCCAAGAGAAAGGGTAGTTTTGACTAGTCCTACAAGAGAAACAGAAAAACACAGGACTTTCATCCCAGTGAAGTCTTTAAAGAGCCTGTACATTTAAAATGGGAAAGTTAAAAAATATTATTTTTTTTAAAGAAATCATTTCTTGAGACTTCAGAATAAAGAGTATAAAGTGCACCATTTAGAAAAAGAAACTCTGAAATTAGTCATCGAATGTTCTCCACACAGAACAGTTAGTGTTTATTCATTTCTATATATTAACCATGCTCTCTCCAGGACTTAAGGATGATTTGAACTATGACTTCCAGAGTTTTGTTTGGAGAAGACTCATACATTACTGGCAAGATCCATGATTCAGGGTCATATTCTAAAACATTTTTCTTCATTTTAACATTGCTTCTTACGCACATTGGCCTATTCTAATCTCTAGGATGACTGAAATGGATCTAAAGCTTGCTGAGAGGAAAAAATAAAAGTACTCTTCCCTCCTTTTGCGTCTGTTTACACAGATTGTTAAAATAGTACTGTTCATTAGATAAAAGTGAGATGAAATAAAAGACGATTTGTTCCTCTGAAGAGTCGAGAAAGGTACAAAGGATTACAGATGCTTCAATAGAATAGGAAAGCCAAAATAAAACACCAAAATTTGGGCTCAGATATTATCACTATATTTCCCTCAAACTCAATAGACTGCAAAGTTTTACAGAAGGAGATTTTAAAATAAAAAACCAGATCATCTTTTCTCCTATCAATAAAATAAATAAATTTGCCTTATGGGCCTGTGATGACTTACGAAAGAAAAAAAACTGCTAATCTTATGAATGGTGTCAGTTCAGGCACCAGAGGCAGTGGCCAGAGGGAAACACTCTTTTCCCAGCACCTTATAGAAAGGCTGTCTCCCCAAAAAAGCTATAAGTCAGGGTCCTATTTTTCAGTGGTCTAGGCTGCGGTGACAAAAGTAGTTCCAGAAGTGAACTAGAAATGGATGGAGCCTTGGAAAGAGGAAGAGTAATCAAAACAAAATTCATCCAGAGTCTTTTCTGGCCCTACCTGGAACTTGCCAGAACAGAGTGAGGTAGAAAAGGCCTTGGGGCACTTTCCCACAGGATGCTGCTGAAGACACTGGGCCCAGGCCTCAGTTTCTAATGTCAGGCTCCCTTTTCCATACTTGTCAAAACTTCTTTCAGGAGCATATAGTCCCTCACATCAATGAACACAAATGAATACCCTCTACCTGGCAAAGGTATTCTCACCTACCACCAACGAGGCAACTTCTAGACAAATTCACATGCAAGAGAGAGGAAGTAAATGGCCAACAGGCCAGCTCACTCTAAGGGGCACAGATACCATGGTCGAACTGCCCTCCCACCCCATCGGTCTCATCCTTCACCAGAGAGGTTATGCAGAGAACTTCAGGGTTCCCTTCTCCCCTTTGAATGGTGCCCCCCTCCATGTGGTGCTTTACTTCAGCTGAACCAACCCTGCTCAGGGGTCCAGAACTACTCTCTTCCAGATAAAATGATCTCTTTGGGGTAACGATCTCACCGGAAACATTCACCTGAGTTGGACAGCGGGTGACAAGAGTGCTTAAGGCCAGAGAACATACGTGAAGGAAGTGAACCTCAATCTCACTCATTCATACAAAACAAGAGCAACACAGGGCAGAGAACCCCAAAAGTGGGTAGGGGAGACTCGACAGCTAGGAAACTAGCCTAGGGTGGGTAAAGGTTAAGGAGAGGCGTGGAGAGCAGATGGGCGGGGAAGAGGTAAGGGGAGCCCCTGACAATAGAAAGTACTAGGGTTTCGACAGGGAGCAGTTCCCAAGGGGAGAGGTGGGCAGATGAGAATGAGGACTGTTCCCAGCAAAGCCGAGCTAGCTGCTGGCCAGCCTGGCACAGAATGTGAGCTGCGGTAATCTCACGTCTTCCTTCCAGGTTGGCCCTGGGTACAGTCACAGAAGGAAAGAGAAACAGATCATCAAATAAGACAAAATCAGACTAGGGAAACAGCTGAAGCAAATACAACTTTCAAAAAGGATATCTAGAACACATAAAGAATTCATTAACACAGATGAGAAATTGAGACCCCCATTTGCTAATTGTGTAAGATAAAATTAGTAAATAAACATATATAGAAAAGTTCTACCTCTGAGAAGGATCAAAGAAATGTAAATTTTAAAACCTAGAAGCCTATTCGATTAGCCAAAAAATAGTAAGTCCCACCATTGATCAGGTTGTAGTAAGACACATTCATATGTCATCAGTAACAATGTAAATCGGTACCGGCCTTCTAGAAAGCAATTTGGATCAAGGCTCCCTATAGTACTCTAACAGCCTTCTGATGTGACTGTATCCTAAGTTAGTACTTAAGTGTACAAAGATATTCACCACAGCTTTATAATAGTAAACAACTAGAAACAACTCAAATGTCCGAAAATAATACAAAACTTAAATTAAGAATAATCCTTGCAAATGATAATTGTAAAGTCTAGGTTGCAAATGAGAATGTGTTTGCTAAATGGAAAAGGCAAAAGAGAAAAAAGGTATATGTTAAATTGTCAAGAACTAGAAGACAACATATAAAAGTGAACACGATTTATGGACTGAAATGGTAGAAACAAAGGGAACTTTTGTTTTTAAAAGCTTTTCTTTTATTCTTGTAATGTATAGGCAACAGATGTTTAAAATGTAATATTTCTATCAATCATGGAGTAGTGAACACCCTCTTCTGTGGAGCAGATCAGCCTGTGGGCAGAACATCATGGCCAGATCAGTGGAGGGTATTTAGGCGTTCCCAAGTTTCAAAGGTCGATTTGATTCAAAGGGTACCCAAGAGGGGCTCTGAGGTACTCCTTGTACCCAGAATATCCCCTATAGATACAGCTCTTTCCTTTGTTCTTCCCCTCCCCCCCTCCCCCCCCCCCCCCCCCCCCCCCCCCCCCCCCCCCCACACCACTTTCTCCCTACCTCCTTTTGGACACTGATGGTGCTGGAGGAGACTTTCTTCCCCTGCTGTAGTTTCTTTTTTAAAAAATTATGTATTGAGATCCTACCATGTATAATATATATAGTACATGCTCAATTCATCCTTCCAACAATCTGGTAGAATACATGCCATCATCCCCATTTTACAGAGGAGGAAATTCAGGATCACAGATTTAAGAAATGTGGCCTGGGTCACAACTCAAGAACAGAGCCAGAATTCAAACCTCAATCTCCTTATATTAACCATTATGAATACTGTCTCTTCTCTTCCTCTCTGCTTATGAATCAAAACAAAACACTCTTAAATGTTACCACTTCTATTTACACCAACTGCCTGAAGAGATTATTCAAATTGCAATAAATCAAGAAATAGTATGGACTGCTTATAAATTAACCAATAAGACAAGGTAATGCTGCACACACTAACTGCAAAAGTTGAGGCAGGAAAAAAAGGGAATTATCTCGAGACTCAAACCTGTACCTTCATTCAGGAAAACCAAATGACATCAAAAGGATTTCTACTTGAGTATTAAAAGCAGAATATCACCCTTGAAACTACTGCAAAGAAGGGCAGAGCTTCTGCACCCTCCTTGCAAAAAATTACTCCTCAATAAGCTGCAAGATTCTTTCCAGTTATAACACATGCATTCCAGAAATGGATGTTGTATGGGGCATGGCAGTAAGAACAATAAAAAGGAGCAGAGGAAGGATTAAGGTATGAAAGTAATATAGATGGGGTGATAAATGATTTTAGGCACCACTTATGACTTACTCT